AATTTGATTAGGCAAAGATATTTGGTCATCTTCGACCAAAAAACATTTAACGAATTAAACGGTGGAAAAAAAACCAAGGAAAATTTACCACCTTTTTCGGGTGAAAGTGATTGATAAATCTATAGACACACACACACATAAATCAAGTCCGGTAAATATATTAGATAAACGATGTGAAAGCAACAACAACAACAACAACAACGATGATGGCAACAGAAACAAAAAAAAAATTATCCAAAAGTTACACCCGAATTTAAACACATTGATTTTTTTTTGCTTAGTTTGGTTTGGTTTGGTTCGATTTGCTTTGTCTGTTTACCCATTCAAGTAAATTTTTATTTTATTTTTTTAAAGGATTTTTTTTTTTGTTGCCTGTTTTGTTTCATGCCAATTTTTGTTGTTGTTGTTTTTTGTTGTGTTCGGATGCTTTTATAGGATTAAATAACACATAACAAAATGGTGTTATATTCAACTGCATGGCTACCATCATAATGGTGATGATAATGGTTTACGAATGTTTACCGAAACATCCAACAAACAGATGAAAAAAAAACATATTGATGATGTGCCGAATGAATTTATTCACTTTTTTTAAAAAAAATTTCTAACCACTTATATACCTTTCCCATTTTTTTCACCATATTCTTCCTGGGTGAAATTGATTAGTGAACAACAAAACAAAAAATATATAATTATTATGTGTGTTATCCATGAAAAAGAAAATGAACCTGCTAAATGATTTCAAATTAACCTGTCTTCACTTTATCATTTTCAGGTAGAAAATTTTTTTCACTTCTTTAAGAAAAAAAAATATCAGATATAATGATAGAAGTTGATGATAATAATCACATGGTGGTCATCATGTCACATAATCATTATGATGATTAACAACAACAACAACAACAAATCAACAACAAATATTTTTTTTTCACGAACAAAAGGTGTTCTGATTAATGTTTGTGTTTGTATATGAACATAATTATCACACTTGGGTTATAACTTTAGAATAATTTCTCTCTATAATAATTAACGTTTAAAGAACTAGAAAAAAAATTTCAAAAAAAAATGAAATCAAAGTAGAAAATTTTTATCATGTTTTTTTCGCTTTTTTTCTTTTGATTATTTCTTTTCGTTGTTGTTGTTGTTGTTGTTGAAGAAAATGGATCAACATTCATGCATCTTATGATTGAAACACGTTTCGATCATCATCATCATCATGATGAATCGTTGATGATGATGATGATGATGAAAAGGATCTTTAGATCAATAGTGTATTCCTATGTTCTCGGTTCTCCTCCCTTTTTTCACTGTTTTTGTTGTTGTTGTTGTTCCGATTTATAGATGATGATGATGATGATGATGATTATGGGTGTTTGATGAATAAAATAGTGATGTTCATGATAATCATATAGCCATGGACACCAACAACAACAACAGCAACGAAAAATCATTATTGATCGATAATAGCATCAACCATTAACCAAAAACAACAACAACAGTAGAAAAAAAATATAACAAATCATCATCAGTTGCGTGGCAAGTTTGTATAATGATAATTTTTTTTCATCTTTCTGTTAAATATTATGGATCTTTTTTCTTTTTTGCTTTGGATTTTGTTTTGTCTTTGTATGTCATGTCTATACCGCCGTAGCCATCATCATCATCATCATCACCAGTTTATTTGTTGGGACCATTCTTCACACACACACACACACATATTGAGCCCCCTGTATAACCAACCAATTGAATCAAACCACACCATTCACAACAAACTAAATAGCCGACCAAACACACCGTCATTTAAATAAGCAAAAATGAACAAATGAAAGAAAAGAATTTTCTTTTCTTTTTTTCATTAGAAAATGCCGATCGGCACCAAAACGTTTGATGATATTTATCGCGCAAGCTACAAGCAACAAAAAAATATCTATCCATCATCAAATCTAAAGGAAAAAGAAGAAGAAGAAGTAGAAGAAATTCAAAAGTAAATGATCACATATGTGTGTGCATGTCTAAATGTCTATAGTTTTCAACAAATGGTGAAGAAAAGTTTTTTTTTTTGAACAAAATTGCTGGTTTCACAGTCTTCATTCTTTTTTATTTCGATTACTATCATCATCATCAGCACCCAATAGCTTTTTTTTATGTTGAATATTTTTGCCGAAATAGTTATTTTGTTTTGAATTTAAAAAGAATCATAATAATCATCATCACCTCGAACTAAAATTATTTTGTTGTTGTTGTTGTTGTTGATTCATAAATGTTTTTGCATTATTCCAAACAACAACAATAACAACAACAAAAATCAGAAGCAAAGAAATACTTAAATTCTCTCTTATTAATCAAATAAGATTTCAATTGAAAGACATTTTTTTGTTGTTGTTGTTTTCTTTGATTTATTTCTTTTTCAATAATTTAGTTTGCGGTTGATTTGTCCCGCGTAATTTTTATATATTCATTTTTTTTTCATAGATTCAAGAAGTTCATGAAAGAAAAACAAATTGTGAAACGCGTTTTAAATTTCAAAATAAAGGAATTTTTGACTAAAAGTAGAATTAATAACAACAAATTGCTTTTCAGAAGAAAAAAAAACAAAATTTTTTTTTTGTGTTAAAATTTTTCTTTAAAACATACACCAAATACATACGCCAACGCTAATATATATGGTGATGATAATAATGATGATTGATCCATTTGCCCATCCAAAATAAAAAAAAATCGTATACAGATCCACACTGTAGGTGGAAAGCTGAAGATTGAAAAAGAAAAATCGGACAAAAAGCTATTAAAGTTCCATTTAGATTTGAATTTCTAATTCATTTTCTATTTCTTCATCATTTTATCATATGTGTGTGGTATTTTTCAGTGATTAAATTATAATGGAAAAATTTTTTTTAAAATAAATCAATGAAATGGATGGATTTAAAGAAAAAAGAAAATTTGAAAAATTTTTCAAATTTTTTTTCTATTAAAACCAAAATATTTGAAATTCTGAAACATATTTTTTATAAAAAATATTTTCTTATAAAAAAAAGATGATTTGTTTGATGAATGGAATCCGAAAAAGAGAGAGAGAGAAAAAAAAAGACAAAGGTAGTTTTGGCAAAAGAAAATACACCACAAGCGGTCTTTAACATCATTATAATGACATAGGTTTGTGACCTATGACACCCATCTATACAGTATTCTATGAGAAAAGATCAAAAGAAAACAGGTGACGAAGATTTTCTTTTTAAAAATATAACGACAGGTGATCAGGTCATTTCATATAATCTTAACAACAACAAGAACAACAAATTCCAAAATAAGAAAATGATGATGTGAAAAAATACACAATGTGCGCTAATTTTCAACAAAAAAAGAATCAACTAGAAGTGATGAATATCAAATGTTGTTGTTGTATACAAAAATAAACTAAATGTTCAAACTCGGTTCGATCGATTAATGTCTAATCAAATTCTCATTTATTTTAGTTTTTCTTTTTTGATTCGATGATCGATATATCAAAAATTCAAAAAAAAAATTTGATTGATTGATATGAATGATCGATTGATTGATTGGATTGTTTTGATAATAATAATAATCAAAAGATTTTCTTTCTTGTTTCCTATTGCCTAAAGTAATGTGATGAGGAAAAAAAGAAATTATTTGTTATTTGAATTATTTGTTGTTGTTGTTGATTTGTTCGTTTTTTTTAGGTTCCAGTGAACAACAACAACAACAACAAAAACAACGAATATTATGATTGAATGTCGCTTGTTTTTCAATACTCAAAGCGATCAATTTTTTTTAAATTAATTAATTAATTTGTTAATCTCCTGAGAAACCAAGGGTAATGATGGAAAAAAAATGTTTGAATATAAAATTATTATAAAATAACAGATATGATTTTTTGTTGTTGTTGTTGTTTTACTCTTGGGTAAATTTCCGAATCAGTCTTTTTTTGTTCATAATCGATTGTATATGGCTCTTGACAATCTTGATGATCAAAAGTATATCATTCAATTTTATTGTAGGCAAAAAAAAATCCAATCTAAAAACCCCAACCAAATAAAATACAAATGGAATATACTAAAAATATATTTATGAAATGAATCAATGAAAGGAGAAATTAGAAAAAAAATCATACTAATTGTTTGATGATGGATGTTTGAAATGTAATGTTTGCGACAGATTGTATGTATATAACAAACACAAAATGAACAACGAAACTTACATAATATTAATAATAATAATTTAAGGTTTATTCACCGATAATATTATTTGCCTAAGCTTATTATTATTATTATTATTATGTTTCGTTGATAACAATTGTTATTATAGAATATTGATTCGATAAAGTATAGATTTACCATATGGATTCGTTAAGTGTTTTTTTCCCTACGTTACAAACAACAACTACAACAACAAATGCACATTACTTCTCATATTTTATTTCGGCTCTTCTATACGCATTAAACATCCCCTTCATTTTTTTTTATTTTGTTCATTTCATTTCATTATAAGATGTGACATTTGATCATCTACGTTGCCATTTGTAAATTATGCATAATATATAAGCGCATATTGTATTATGGATTTAATTTGACATAATCAACATTAATAGCACCATCATCATCATCATTGATTATGATTAACATTTAAATAGCAAATTGGAATCAGGGAATAAGGGAAAAAAAAGGTCACCGACAAACAAACAAAAAAAAATTATTGACCTTTTTGTTTGTTTTTCTTTTCCAACTATTCGAACGATACCGATATTAATGATGATAATGAGATACAAATGTTCTTTTTTTGAATGTTATGTCATTTTTTATCGCGATAATAATATCTATACATGTATGAAATATGGGATGGAAGTTTATAATGTAAAATTCAAAATATTTGAAAAAAAAATCCATACAACACCATCTGTCGATATTGGATCAAACCATTTCCAAATCTCATATAAATTATATTGAAAATAAAAGTTCGAAAAAAACTATAGATAGATTTATTTGATCATCACAACATAGAAATTTTTGAATGAAAAAAAAATTAATAACTTAAACAGAAATTTCTCTCATCATTCTTGATGCTGAATGGCTTAAATAACCAAAATCAACATTAATACATTGGCTATACAAATGAATAATAATTGGAAGTAGAAAAAAAATCATAAAACAAAGGACCAAAGATATTGGATTTGTTGATGGAAATGGATAAAGATAAAGGCCATGTCGTAAACCATCACGAATATGATGTGCTATCGTAGCATTTAGTAATAACCAACCAAAACGATTATAATAAGAAATTGTCTGTTGATCGTCATTTACAATGGGTGAATGAATTAACAATAATGATATGATCAATAATGCTGCTGTATTGTGCAGAAATGGTCGTCCAGTCAATTGATGAATATTCTTGAGAAAAAACAAACAGAATTTTAGCTTTTTTCAAAACAAAAAACAAAAAATCATACTTACATGAATGGAAAAAGATTTAGCGACAATCACATGATCAAAATCGATTAATATCGAAATGATCGAAGAGGTAAGAATGTCATAAACGATTAATTTCGTATCACAGAAATATAATGAATGACTTGTACGAATCTTTAAGAGTATTAACATAAACCAGGTAAGAAATGCATGTAAACCATGTATCAATGTATCAGCTATGGCAACCAAATACATAATCAATGTATTTGGTCTTGGTAAAGCAATAATATAATCACCTAGTAATGAGAAAAATATTATTAACAAATAAAGACATAGATAGCATAATTTAATTATTAAAGCCATAAATTTATGGCAGCCGATAACAATTCCGATTTTTTGTTTTTGGTATTTACAATACACAAAAATTGCTCACATGTTCGAAATAAATAACACATTTTCTGTCTCCATCTATCTTCAAATTAATTAACTGCAAAAAACTTGATATCCATCAAAATTGTCTTATATTGATCAATTTCATTCAATGTCATTGAATAATTTTTCATCATTTTTTTTGGTTCAATCAATAATCAATCATCAGAAATCAAGAAAATAAAATTAATCTTTCGATCGATCAAATAATATTTGATCGATTAAAATTATGAAATCAAAAAAAAAAAAAAAAAAATTCACATTGGCTGATGATTATGTTTGTTTTGGGGATTTTGATTAAAATTAAAAAGGGCC